AAGATTTTATTTATTTATTTGAGAGAGAGAATGAGAGAGAGAGCACATGAGAGGGGGGAGGGTCAGAGGGAGAAGCAGACTCCCTGCCAAGCAGGGAGCCCAATGCGGGACTCGATCCAGGGACTCCAGGATCATGACCTGAGCCGAAGGCAGTCACTTAACCAACTGAGCCACCCAGGCACCCGATCCAGTTGATATTTAATGAACAAAATACTGACCTTGGCCTTTAAGTTACGGAGGTCAACTCGCAAACCAGTGATGTGTGCTTCCAGATTGTCTCTGAATCTAGAAATAGCCGCATCTTTATTTGTTTTGCTTAGCTTCACAGAAGTTTTTAGTTGACCAAACCTGCCAAGAAGAATTTTGTGTATGGCAATTTGCTCTTCTGAAATCTGAATCTGGTAATACCGTACAACAGAATGCAGCTGAGCAACCGTGGAGTACTCTTTTTCTAATGCAAATATTTTTGAGGAAATTGCATCCAAAAAAGTAAAATGTTCCACAAATTCTTCTATTTCAGTGGGATCAGAGTCCAGCTTTCGCAGTGATGACTCCACGATCTGCAATCGTTAACACATTAATGAGATTTATATAATGAGTTCTGACACTATTTTACAAGACTACTCTTTTAGTATCTCTCACTAACTTACATCATTATAATTTCACAAAAAAATGAAGACATCATCTAAACATTATTCTAACTATTGTTTAAATACTGGAGCATTAACATGCTCAAATCCTTCCTATTGTTAACAGACGGAACCTGAATGTACCTTGCACATAAAATAAATGCTACTAAGGTATACAGGAAGTAATATTATGAATAACTTTGTCTCTAAGAAATAGACTAATAGCTACAGCAAGGGCATGGCTGAATTGTGAACAATGTATAACCACCACCCCGTTTGGGGCACTGATGTGCTAGTTCTGTTTTGATAGCACATCTGCTCACTAGTTTGCACAGGAGTAAACAGTCTCAGAGGGATTCATTAGCCTAAAACCAGAAATATAGGGAGTTACTGATCAAACCCAAGTCTGATTCCAAATCCCATTTTTATCTATTATAAATGTATGTATTCATTATATGTATAATATCAATACTTTTATAAGTATAGTATGTATATCATTCCATGAAATTTTCAAAATAATTGCATTTCTATACTCAAATTACAATTTTGTCATATTTTTTCCTCATGTTTTCAGGGCTCTTAATGAATACTCATGTATAATTTTGGAATCAGTGTCATTTCAATTTTCAATTTCACAGCCTTGAATTAATTTCCTGGATGTCTCTAATTTTTTGAACACTTTATTCTATTTGATTATAAAATAGATGCTCATGCAAAAACTGCAATACAAAAAAAAGCTGTTAATGTAGAAAATACTTATTATTCCATCACTCAGAAATAACCACTGTTAACCCACCACAGTTTATATGGACAGGCTTTAAAACCAGAGAGGCTTGTGTTTTGAATCCCAACTCCAGAGTTTCCTAACTGTGTGACCCTAAGCAAGTAGCTTTCCTTTAATGAACTTGGATAATATAGTCTAGTAACAGGCTGATAATTGTACCTACCACATTTAATTGAAATTCATGACCAACACAGAAGACAGTAAACAGGGCTATCTTGACTCTAACCACAAATGCCATTTAAATGCCAGAAAAAAAGAAAGAAACACACGAAAACGCTGGTTTGTATCACAAAGAAAACAGATAACCCCAATTTCATGCAAAAAATAGACGGTAGAAACAGCTGAAACACACCCAAACTCCCTTTGTCACTAGTAGTACACCGATACCAAAGACAAGTGAGAATGGTAAAGCCAAGTCACAAAGCAATCTCGCTTGCCAGCATAAATGCAAACATCTTACAAAGAACGTACAAGTCAGTGCATGTGCGTGCTGGCAACCAAACCCACCAACCCAAGAAAGCCAGTTAATGTAATAACCACATTAAAGGACTGAAGAAAACAAATGCGTGATTGTTTCAAGGGATGCAGATTAAGCATTTGATAAAACTCATTTATGATAAAAAATACTCTCATCAAAATAGGGGAAACTCCTTAACTGCGTAAATGAAAGCGACTCAAAGCCTCAGGAAATACATAAAAACACACCTGGGGCATGCGGGAGCCAGAGAGAGGATGAATAAGCAACTTTCAAAGCTGGTTCCTAAAAAACAATTGTAGCTCAGGGGCACCTGGGGGTTCAGTCGGTGAAGCATCTGACTCTTGATTTCAGCTCAGGTCGTGATCTCAGGGTCTTGAGATCGAGCCCCGCATCAGGCTCCACGCTCAGCACAGAATCTGCTTAGACTCTCTCCCTCTCCCCCTACCCCTCCCTCCGCTCGCATGCTCTCTCTCTCAAATAAGTGAATAAATCTTTTTAAAAAATTATAGCTCAGAAAGTTTTCTGGAACTAAAACCCCTGACCCTCCTAAGTGCAGAAATCGAGTTTGCAGTGACTCACGTTCATCTAGCGCTCACTATGTGCCAGAATGTGTTTAGGGTTTTATAACCCTTAGCTCATTTAACTCTCACAAACTCTCTAGGTTAGTCAGTAATATTATCCCCAATTTACAGATAAAGAAACTGAGGTATAGCAAGAATAAGGATATTAACTAAGGTCTTTCAAGTAGTAAATGGAAAAGCCAGGATTTTTTTTTTAAATCAGTTGAAGCCAAATTTACATACAAAAGATGTTAACTGTACATCATGATGAGTTTTAACACATTTATACACCTGTTTAGTTACCTCTGTAATCAACATATATAAAACTTTCATTACCCTAAAAGATGCCTTGTGCCCCATCCCTCCTAACTCCTGGCCTCAGAAAACCACCATCTGCTTGTTGTGGCTACAGATTAAATTTGTATTTGTCAAGTTCCATATGTATGGAATCATCCAGCAGGAACTCCTTTCGGTCAACATATTTTTGCAGTCCATCCAAACTGTATGTAGCACTCGTTCATTCCTTCTCACTGCTGAATGCTATTCCAATGCATGAATGCACCATTTTGTTTTGTTTTGTTTTTCCTTACTTGCCTCTTGCTAGATCTCTGGATTGTTGGCAGGTTTTGGCACTTGTGGTTAAAGCTTCTATGACTATGTGAGTACAAGTCTGTGTGGACCTATTTTTATTTCTTGTAAGTAAATAATGTGGAATGTGGTAGCTGGGTCGAATGGTAAGTGAACATTTAACTTTACAAGAAGTCGCCAGTTTTCCAACGTGACTGCACCATTTTCATCATCACCAACAATGTGTGAACGTTCTAGTGTCTCCGCATCCTCTCAGAACTTGCTATTGTCAGTCTTTTTAATTCTGGCCACTTAAACAGATGTGTGGTTCTCACTTCCCTGACGACTGTCATGTTGAGAGTATTTTGTATCTCCTGGCCAGCTTCCTTGGTGAAGGGTGGCCAGCAAAGTCTTTGGTCACCATGTTGTCTTGCCAGTGCTTGGGACTGAGAGACCGCAGCTGTAGCACTGGGTAAACAGTCGGAAACACGTGGTCTCGTATTCTGGTTCCTTTAGTACTTCCAGTGAAATCCTCAGAGACAGACTCTTGCTAAAATGAGCTAAGCAGAGACTGAGGGAACTATGGCTCTGATAAGAAAATTCTTCTCTGCCTTTTGCAGAGCCGACTTGAGGATTCTTTCATTCAAAGGCTTGCAGAAGCTGAGACAGGTAACAGTTTCTGCACTCTGAATGAAAGTGGTGGCTTCAAAGTGGCAGCCCTAGCAAGAGAGAAGAGCTCTTATCTTCAAACAGGCACCTTCGCCGAAGAAGGTGGGACAACAGGATTGGCAGGAAGCTTGCAGGCAGAGACTATTAAGGGTGTAACTTTTCCTCCCAAGTCTATGTTCCAAACAGCATCAGATACGGAACCACACTTTTAGGGGGGAGAGGGAAGTGTCAAACAGACAGCAGCTAAAAATAAAAAGTTCTCAGGCTTCAAAGTCATGTCTCGACTCAAGTGTGGAATTAACCAGAAGCAAACAGGAAAAAATTATTTTAAGAAGCAAGTCCAAGTCTAATAACCATCAATGACATTTCCTAAGGCAGACACAGGTGTCCCTACTCAGGCCAACAGGAGATTCATTGGTGTACTTGTTCAGGGCCCAGCGAGTACAAGCCCGCGATGCCCGGCTTGGATGAGGGGGTGAAGAATACCAAACCCAGAGAGTCCTCCTACAGGATCTAACTGGGGGTCACCGGGGACAAGAGACCTGAGCCAGAGACTGCCAGACTGATCAGCCACAGAGCTTACTGTGCCCTCAAATAAAGGAACTCTCGGTATTTCTGTCCAGCAAGATTTGATATTTGCTCTAGACCACCTTAGGTGGCTGTTTCCCCATTTTCTTCTTCATAGGATGGAAGTTTCAGTTACACGTATCCTGTTCCTTCTCCACCAGTTTATATTCTTCTGCCCTGTCTTTGTTTAGAACTCACTGGAACACTAAGCGCCATGTTACATTTGATAGAGTGTACATAGCCGGGGGGAGGGGGGCAGCACTCAGCCCCACTTCTGATGTCTCCATGAGGCAGGGGCCCCTGCTCGTCCAGCCTTCCTGGTGGCCCCTCCACCCCACACTCACTTCCTGGGGAAGGTGAAGTGACTCCTGGGACTGGGGAGTTTGGAAGGAGAAGGTGGACAGGCAGAGCCTAGACACTCCTCTCAAAAGCCGACCTGTCCGCAGAGGGTACGCGTTCCTCTCTGCTCACTGTGGCCAGGATGTTGGTCGTGTTTCAGGGCAACCAGTGCTGAGCGGGCTAAGTCTCTCCCTAAGTCTGAGCTTCTGTTTGGGGAAGGTTAATTTTAAGTAAATAGAAGCCATATTCTCCAAGGTCTACTTCATTAGTAATAAAGGAAATCCTTGAATCTCTTTTGCCTTAACCTGTCGTCTTATTTCTCAGTCGGTTGGTTCAGTACCCAGCCAGGTAAGAGCGGTGAGATCTGTGATGCCCCCTAAAACTCACTATGTGGGAAGACGGGTGTGAACAGCCAAGGCACCGACTGCAGCAGATGCAGTAAGTCTGACTTGAAACCCAGTCCACTCCATCTTCTGCTTGCTTTCCTCAACCACTGAGGCAGAGGAGCTCTGACGTGCCAGTTCAGTCAGGTCCTTCTGAGCCGGTGGCGGCACTGTGACCTGGTTCTGGCGAAGCCAAGCGAAGTGAAACGCAGCGCACTGCTGCTTCTGCGTCCCCGTGTTTCTGCCCGGACGCGAGCACAGGGCCTTGGGGCAGCAGCGGCCCTAGTCACGGGAGCGGCGCTGACACAGCAAAGGCCCGCCTCACCCGCGCCGAGACGTCCTTGTGCATCAGGGAAACCGCTGTGCTTGGGCGGTACACTGGGTTCGGTTTCTGATACTTGGGGAATACCAGCCTCAGCGAAATAGGGGTTAATTCTGTGTGCATTTTAGGACTGTTGTGGCTCCAAAGACCGACACTTTCCAACCCTCTCTTAAACTCTTTGAGGCATTAAAAGCTACTAAACGTTCCCTCTTTCTCAGGCCACTCCCTTGCTTTCCTCGCCCTCTCTGGTTGCTCCTCTGCAGGCCCCTCTCCGTCTAGCAGCCTCCTGCATATTTGCATTCCTCAGGCTTCTGCTGGGGAGTCCTTTTCCTTCCTCGCTACACACATACAGCAGGCGCAGCCTCCTGAAGGGTGACCTTGAAGAGCACCTGTCTGCCGGTCACCTAAACATGTGCTTCTGGTCCAGACTCCCTGCCGACGGCCGGATGTGCACACTGCATCTCTGCCTGACGGTCACGCGGTGAAGCAAGCACTGTGCTCCCTCAGCCTCACATTGCAGCCCTGCTCACCCCGCAGCCCAACCCAAAAGCTCAAAGTATCATTAATTCCTTTCTCTTATTCCTTACATTCTGCCAATCACTACATCCTGAAGATTCCATCTCTTAATGGATCTCAAAGCCATCTGCTTCCCAGACTCCACGCTGTTCCTGCCCTGGTTCAGGCACGTGTCACCGCTCCCCTAGACACCAGAAACAGCTTTCCCCCTGTCCTGTCCCACTTCAATCCATTCTCTACACTGCAGCCAGAGTGGTCCCTATGAAAATGCAAGTTGTATCATGTCATGTCCATGTTCGTAAGTTTGCAAAGATTCCCAACAGGGAAAAGACGTAACAAGGAACATGGGGCGCCATTTTAGAAATGGTGGACAAAGAATGTTTCTTTGAGGAAATGATATCTGATCAGAGACCCAAACAAGTATTAACACATATTAGAATTTTCTGAGGATAACACTCATCATTTATATTTCCTAAGTACATATTTTAAAATAATAATCTAATGATCATAAAGATTCTCATGCAATAGGCATTTCCACAACACTTACTTCCAGTAGATTTGTATTCTTTCTTTCAATTACAGATCGCAAGAGGTTGTGGATCAGATGTATGACATTCTCAACATATGGTAAGCATTCTGACTGATAATTGAGACTTACAACTTTGAAAATACCAATGCGTTTCTCAATGGCCATATTAATAATATATTGAAGATAGTTTCTGAATTTAGCCAGGATAGTTTTAAACTGTACTGAAGTCAATTCGTCTATCGATGAGATTTTCATACTCATGGCTTTGGCCTTCTGTACCATGGAACAGTATTTTATAAACTTGCAGCTGTAAACATTAACTTGCCCCATGGAATTACCAACAACAGTCAGGAGACTGGCAATCTGTAAATAAAGTGTTAACAGGTCAGAATTGTAAGAGTAACAAGTGTGGGCTGACAGGCTGATGGTTCTGTCAGAATACGTACAACAACAGTTCTCTGTGGGGTCTGTTTTGTGCAGAACCCACACTGCAGAACTATGTTGGAAACCTAAGACTTCAAGAAATTTAGATGGCTTTTTCAATGTCCAGGCCATTTCTCTTTCTGGTCAGCATGTTGTTTGAAGCCGCTAGAAACACCAGTCATGTATTCCTGTGTTAGAGCAGATGCTCCATGCACAGCCCCACACTGTGTTACCTCACCCATTCCCAAGAGACGGCTCCCTGACCGGGCAGAATCTGAGCCAAGTGGAGATGATGAGATTCTCCTGTGGATCTGAACCACAATACCCAGCGGGATTGGAATGGGGAAGTCCCAGCCAAGGCATGTCAACACACTGGCAATTCAGTACTGGGAGGGAATCATGCAAGAGAAAGCTCCTTTTCGTAGTAGAAGTTGGAAAAAACAAAAGAGGTGAATGGAGCTGAAAGCCCACGAGAAGGACAGATGGGGACATGAGCCGGAAATGACACGTCCATTGCCCTAAGTTAGGATACTCGAATTTTTCAGCAAGTCCCTTTAATCTAAGAATCTCCGTGGGTTTCTGCTCCTAGAGCCAAGTAGTCCCTGAGAGAAACTCTTTTTAAACTTACTTTATTTTGGTAGATAGGATCCATCTCAAAAAGGATCTGACAATCTGGCCATCTGGCTGGCTTCTTATAGGCCATTCCACTTTCAGTCTTATTAGGCAAACTCGTAATTAAAAACGATTCAGTAAAAAGAGACAGGCGAGGATCTCGGCAAAGAGGAATAATCTTGGCTAAAATACAGAATTCAAAAGTTAGTATTTTCAGGAGTCCCACCAAAAGCATCACCTTAAAATTATCCATGAATCTAAAACTACTGGTAACTGAGGCTGATTTATTATGAGGGCTAGAGAGTGTTCTATACTGATAAATGGAATTTAAGACAGGTGTAAAGGTTTGGATTTAATTTTATGGGAACAACAGAATCACTCACAGGTACGGGGTGGTGGTGGGCCAAGGCATAATTAAAATAGAAGCTGAGAAAAAATCATTAAGTTGAGAAATAGTTGAAACGTCAGTGCTACGTGATGCCACATGGAAAGCATGAAAGCAGCACGCATCCACCAGCAGCGCATTTACAGTCTAGCTGAAAACTGATGTCTGCACGCAAACACACACACAAACAAAACTTCTACATACACTTCATGCCTTATGCGAAATTAACTCAAAACGAATCATATACCTAAATATAAAGCACAAATTTATAAATATCCCAAGAGAAAAAAAATCAGGAAAAATCTGTGTAACTTTGAGTTAGACCAAGAGTTTGTAGATACCAAAGCATAACAAATCCATAACAGAAAAAAAATTGACAAGTCATACTTTATCAGAGTTACGAAGGTTAGCTCTGTGAGAAAGAATGAAAAGATAAGGCACAGACTGGGAGAAAATGTTTGCATCTTCTCTCTGATAAAAGACTTGTATCCAGAGTACATATAAAGACCTCTTACAACTTGACAATAAGGAAACAAACATCCCAATAAAAAAATAAGCAAAAGATCTAAAGATTTGACTATAAAAAAATGTACATAAGCATATGTATATAAGCATATGAAAAGATGAACAGTATTAGTCATTAGTGAAATGTAAATTAAACCACAATGAGATTATCACTACACACCTATTACAATGGCTAAATTTTTTTTTTTATACTCTGACAATAGCAAGTGCTGACAAGGACACAGAGTGACTGGAACTTTAGACATTGTTGGCAGGAAAGCAAAATGATACAACCACTTTGAAATTCTCATAAAATTAAACATACACCTATCATATGACCCAGCAATCCCACCCGTGACTCAAGAGAGAAGAAAAACTTATGTTCATCCAAAAACCTGTATGTGAATGTTTATAGCAATTTTATTCGCCATTGCCCCAAAATGGAACAGCCCGGATGCGAGTGGGTAAACAAGCTGTGGTACATCCAGACAAGAGAACACAACTCAGCAACAAAAAGGAATCAGGCTACTGCTTCATGCAACAATATGGATGCATTTTAAATGCATTTTTCTACATGAAAAAAGCCAGACCCAAAAGGCTACCTATCCACTTATATGACATTCTGGAAAAGGCAGACCGGTTGCCAGGGACAAGAGGGTGTAGAGGAGGGTTTGACTGTCAAGGGGCAGCACGGGGAAGCTGGGGATGTGTGGAGCTCAGATGGTGCACAGGGAACTGTCGAGCCCACACACTGCGAGCCACACACAGGGAATCTTACCACAGGCAAAGTTGTGAGGGACCAACCAGGACACAGGGAGAACCTAAGATGGAATACCGACTGGGACAAAGTAACCTAGCTACATTACAAATAAACTCTATAACCTCACTGAAGAGGATAGACAACAAGTAAGTTGATCCAAGGAACTTTGGAAAACTTTTGACTGAAAACGAGAAGGACACAGGGGAAAAGAACCGCACACAAACAGTATGTGTTGGCTGACACATTTCTTCTCAAGGAGGTACACAGCAGCGATGCTGACGTGACCTTCCATGTGTGACACAGATCTGCCCCAGCTCCTTTCACTGTGGACCTCACAGCAGCGCCACCCCTACAAGGAACAGGCATGCCCCAGGGCTGAGGCGGAGAACCACAAGAGGGGCCTGGGGTGTCCTGTGGCCCCAGCAGCTACAGCGGTCACAACAAAGGGTGAGGGTAAGGTGAAAGGGCACAGGACCCATTTGGAAAGAACTGTTCTGCAAAAGCAAAACCAGACACTTTGAACAACAAAATAAGTAACAATAATACTGTTATACTCCCCAGATGAAAACAAGTATCAGTGAACCTAGGACATTCCAGGGGGAGAAAAGAAGTTACAGAATTACAACAGAATGGTACTGGTTCATGAGTTACAGACAGATCAACTATATATAGTCCATAAAGAAACATATTAAAATATAATAAATGATAAAAGTGGCATTTCAAACCAGTGAGGGTGAGGAATGGATTACTCAGTGACTGGTACTGGGACAGACAGATCATCAGTCATCTGGGAAAAAATTACAAGTCTACATATGCCAAATAAATGTTAGAGCAATCAAATATTTAAGCATAAAAATGAAATCATAATAGAATTAGAAGACAAGTAGGAGAATGTTTTTATGATGTGGTCACTGGGCAAGCCTGTGTAACTAGGGCACCACATCCTGGAGCCTCTTCTAAAAGGCTCTGCACATGTTATACTATAAAAATAATGTTCTCCATGGCAAAAATATCACCATAAAATCAAGCCAAACAACCTACTTATTTTTCTTAAACTCATATTAAACATTAAGGATTCACTTTCTTAATCCAAAAGAACCACAAATCAGTAAGAGGAAGACTTTAGACCCATGAGTTTCAATCTCAGGCAATTACTCTGTGAGAATGTCCCATGGAAGCCGCAATCTGTGCACAGATGTCAATGACATGACCGCATGCAGTAACGAGCATGTTTAACTTTGCACTCATGGTTCAACATATTATTGCACAGTAATGGAATGTTACACAGCCATCTAAGTGACAATTATAAGAGCATACGCAGGAATGTGGAAAATGTCTACAATATAATGCTAAGGGATAATAAAATATTTTAAATATAATTTCACTAATGTATGCCAATGAAAATAAAAATGCAAAATGCAAATAGCTGTTATATGAGGGTAGCTGAAATGATGGGGTGATCAAGATGTTTTGTTTTTTCTCAGGTAAATATACACACACACACACACACACACGTATACATTACATACATACATGAATATGTACACAGATCAGTGAATCCATATTTATATAAATAAATAACTGAATAAAGAAATGGATCCACTAATTAATTAGTGGCAAGATCCACAAATAAATGCTAAAACTAGTGGGCAAAATTTTCAGAAGAAACAAAGATATCTGACCATCTCAAGACATCCCTTCCCAAATTTATTAATAACAAGAGGAAATATAAACATTTAAAGAGTTGACAAGGGTCCTGCTATTTTAAGATCTTTATAAGACTTAGATCATGGAGAAGGCATAAATTCATTGGTCGGGCTAGTAATAGCCATGTAATTTCAGATTGTATACACATAGCTAGAAAAGAATTAATAAAAATCTGTTTAAGATGGAAACAGAGGGGGCGGAGCAAGATGGCGGAGGAGTAGGAGACCTGGATTTCTTCTGGTCCCAGGAATTCAGCTAGATAGGGATCAAACCATTCTGAACACCTACAAACTCAACAGGAGATTGAAGAAAAGAATAGCAACAACTCTCTGAACAGAAAAGCGACCACTTTCTGGAAGGTAGGACGTGCAGAGAAGTGAATCCGAGGCGATATTCGGGAGGATAGACAGCAGGGGAGGGGCCTCCGTCAGCCAGCTACTGGCAAGTGATAGAGCTGCAGAGCACAAAATCGGAAATTTTAGAAGTCAGCTCTGCTGAGGGACGTCGCTCTGGTGGCTAAGTTGGGGGTGGAACCCTCGTGGGACAGTGTGGTTTCAGGACCCTCGGGGTCACAGAAAGACCGGGGGGTGCCTGAGTGTGGCAGAGCTCCCAGGTATCAGAGCAGGGAAGACGGCTGCAAAGACGGAGCCGAGGCGCGGGGTCTCAGCTCGGGGTTGCCATAAACCGTGATCCGCGGCACAGTCAGGCCACTGCTCCTCCAGCAGGGACCCAAAAAGCAGCAGATCTGGGGAGACTTACCTTCCTCCCCCAGGGACGAGCGGCGCGGGAGTGCACTGCAGGGATGTGCTGGGTTTCGAGACTCCACACCAAGTCGGGTGCCAGAGATAGAAACGTTCAGTCACAGGTCGGGGGAGCATGGAGTGCGGCCGGAGACTGGGGAGATGGGAGTGATTGACTGCTTTTCTCTGGGGGCTCACTGAGGAGCAGGGCCCCGAGTTCTTGGCTCCTCCCGGGCGGAGATTGGGAGGCCACCATTTTCACTCTTGTCCTCCAAAGCTGTGCAGAAAGCTTGCAGGGAATAAAAGCTCCCGAGAGCAAACCCGAGCAGATGACTTAGCCCGGACCTGGCAAGGGTGGGGCAATCCCGCCTCCGGCAAAGACATTTGGGAACCACGGCAACAGGCCCCTCCCCCAGAAGATCAGCAAGAACAGCCAGCCAAGACCAAGTTTACCGATCAATGAGAACGGCAGAACTCCAGCACTAGGGGAATACTGCACATAGAATCCATGGCTTTTTTACCATGATTCTTTAGTGTTTCAAAGTTAATTTTTTTTTAACTTTTTTTTTTGAATTTTTCTTTTTCCCTTTTTCAACTAACAGCTTATCAACCCTTTTTTTAAAAAACATTTTTATTTTTCATTTTTAGAGTCATATTCTATCCCTTCGTAGTAGTTACCCGTATTTTTGGCATATATGTATAAGTTGTTCTCTCTTTAAAATTATGATATAGTTTCTTCTAACAGATCAAAATATACCCTAAATCTCTAGTGTATGGTTTTTTTCTACTCCCCTGCCTGATCACATTCTCTCCCTTTTTTTTCTTTTTTTTTAAATCCTCTTCTATCTTTTTTCAAATGACTTATCAATTCCTTTTATAAAATTTTTTATAATTTTCATCTTTACAGTCATATTCCATTCCTTCATTATATCAACCCTTATTTTTTGTACATATATAAGTTTTTCTTTCTTTAAAATTTTGGGAGGCACTTTCTTCTAACAGACCAAAATACACCCAAAATCTAGTGTGTGGCACTGATCTATGTACCAGCCTGATCATAATTGATCATGTTCTGTCTTTTTTGTTT